ATAAATGAAAGCTGTTGGAATATGAGTTGTTAAAGTATGTATAAGGTGTCATTCATAAGTTCTGTGTTAAAGCTCATAACACTGCAACACCAATTACATCATATTAAACAACAAAATCATTAATTATAAGTAATGTTTTAAATTAGAAATTGAAATTTAAGTTAGATCCATTGTTGGACGTTGTTGCCATATGGCAACATTTTATAAAGTACCTTAAAAATTATATATTTCCAAATTTTTTAAGCCATTTTAAGAAAAGAAAAACAGTCAAATTTATATTTTAATAAATTTATCATAATGCGTGTGGTAGAGGGTTTAATGTAAAATGCAGCGTGCTAGGCTTTCTGTGAGTTTTACTGAGTTTAAGGCCACAGAACAATGTGGTTTTCACACATATGCTATAGTATGAGGACGCATGTGCATTCAAAATACTGTCATCATGACAGCGTTGGCATATACTGTACCCACAAACACCAACAGCAGCCCTCACAGTGGAAACAAAAAAACTTGCACTGAAAAGAAAAACAATTATTTATATATCCGTCAGAACAGACATTTTCTCTGCTCAAATCAAAAAAAGAGAGAAGGGGATTGAGAATTGAATCTTAATAATGTGCATGAATTGAAATCGAGTTACACATCAAGTGAAGTTTATTTATAAACTAATTTCAAGAGGATCACATGCTCATGATTGATCACAGCTGGTCCCGCATCAGCTCACGATTGATTCACCAATCAGATGATTCCTAACTCACTATAAATAACCAGTTTTACTATATCAGTTTCTTTGGCTGCGTCCGAAACCGCCTACTACTCAGTAGGTACTGCATTTGAATTTTAACGTGCTACTCGGCGGTTTGTAAAGTACGTTCTATACAGTCTGAATGTGAAAAGTATGAATGGAATTCGGACGTACTACATCAACCATTTTGTCATGGTCACATGACCTACCTGCGTCAGTTGCGTCGCTTCAGTTGCATTCATGAATTCTCTTGCGAGGCATCATGGGATAGCGCAGCGTGCAAAGAATGCACACTTCAGAATTTTGCCGGAAATAGTAAGTTATCTGGATACTTCTCGCATTCTGTTTTTCTAATTCTATGAATTCGGACATACTACTCGGCTCGCATACTGATTTTAGCGTACTGTATAAATATGATATGATAAATATGATATTGATATATATGATATGATAAATATGATATTAGCCCCCCTTTGAATATTTTTTCTTTTTAAAGTATTTTCCAAATAATGTTTAACAGAGCAAGGAAATGTTCACAATATGTCTGATAATATTTATATTTATTCCTTCTCGAGCAAGTCTTATTTGTTTTATTTCGGCTAAAATAAAAGCAGTTTTTAATTTTTTAAAAACTATTTTAAGGTTAAAATTATTAGCCCCTTTAAGCCTTTTTTTTTTCAATAGTCTACAGGACAAACCATTGTTATACAATAACTTGCCTAATTACCCTAACCTGCCTAGTTAAACTAATTAACCTAGTTAAGTCTTTAAATGTCACTTTAAGCTGTGTAGAAGTGTCTTGAAAAATATCTAGTCAAATATTATTTACTCTTATCGTGGCAAAGATAAAATAAATCAGTTATTAGAAATGAGTTATTAAAACTGTTATGATTAGAAATGTGTTTTTACAGAACAGAAATTGGGGGACAAAATAAACAGGTGGGCTAATAATTCAGACTTCAACTGTGTATATATATATATATATATATATATATTTTTTTTTTTTTTTTTTTTTTTTTTCTAAATATTTACAAGGGCAACTGTATTGGGGTAACCCACATTAACTGTATAATCTACAATAACTCTATAATCATCTCACTTAGAAATATTTGACAATCTTCAATAAAACACATTGCATTTGTAAAGATTAACAGCGCCACCTAGGGGATATAGATAGTAGTACATTACAGTTTTTCTCAGTTGCGTTGGTGCATTTCTCACAACACTATTTACATTTGCGCAACAGTTAATGCATTTCTCAAAACAGTTAGTCATTTGTGCACATCACAGTAGCAGTTTATCATTTCACCCAACAAATTGTGAATGCTTTTAGACATGCATCACCTGCTGTCATACAACTCTCTGCTGTTTATAACATTATCATTTGCTTATGTCGTGTCAGTCAAAATTAACTAAACTTGTGAATGCTGAATAGTCACTTCATATAAAACTAATAGTCCTTATTTCATT